CAAGGAGAAAAAAAAATAATAAAATGAGGCAGTCAAAGGGATAGAAACAGCTGGAGCTGTGCCAGGGAGGGTCAGGCTGGAGCTCAGGGAAAGGTTCTTCCCCAGAGGGGCTGGCACTGCCCAGGCTCCCCAGGGAATGGGCACGGCCCCGAGGCTGCCAGAGCTCCAGGAGCGTTGGGACAGCGCTGCCAGGGGTGCCCAGGGTGGGGTTGTTGTGGGGTCTGGGCAGGGCTGGGGCTGGGCTGGTGATCCTGGGGGTCCCTCCCAGCTCAGGACATTCTGTGATCTCTTGTTCAGCACAGAGGCTGCTCCTGGCTGGTCGGTGCAGAGGCAGCATTGGTTTTGTGGCACAGCAATGGGATAAATCTGCTTCTTTTAACTGTGGTGTTTTGGCACTGAAGGAGCTTCCTTGTGGTTTGCTGGGAGCAGAGTGCCCCCCTCGGAGCCAGCCTGTGCCTGTTGTGCTGCACGGCCACCCCAGTGCAGGGTTTGTCCCTGCCACCACCCCACAGCCCGTTCTGGAGGGGACACAGTCATGTAAAGGAGTAAAGGCTCATCTCCCAGTCAGTCAGACCTTTCCAGGGAACTTGAGCACAGTGGGTGAATGGTGCTGAAAAATCATTGCTGCGTGACTGAGCTGCCAGGCATGGCAAGGAGCTGAAATCCGGGGCTGGAGAGGGCTGGGGATTAACACCAGGGGCTCAGGCTCGTGCAGGCAGCAGACTTCAGCAAGCCTTTCCCTTGGAGGAGAACAGAGTGGTTGTTACTGAGATGGGGAGAGCAGAGCTCTTTGCTGTGGTGTTATTTTAATCGAGGTTGTGTAACTTTACCTTGTTCTGAACTCCCAAACTTTTCTGGCTGGTAATAGGAACAGTGCCACAGCACGAGCCTCGAAGCAAGAAGCCTTGGAAGCTTCCCAGGCAGGCTGGGGAATCAAAGGTGTGCAGCTTAATATAGAGACAAGGTTTGAGCAGGCAACAAAACAGCAGGGTCTGAGGGGCAGGGCCTGGGTGAAGTCACAGCATTACTCACTTTCATGGCTGCCTCCCCCTCCTAAGGGGCAACTGAGTAAGGATTTCTTCATTTGCCAAAGGAATTTCTCAAGTGGCAAGGAGAAGCGTGCTGAAGTGGTTCCCACAGGGATGATTTGCCTGGGCTCAGTCAAGGACTGGACCTGCTAAGACTGTTCCCCACGGGGCTGTAAATCTGAGGCACTCCTTGTCCATGAGTGAATACTGCACAGGCTGGGATGGGAAAGGGCATCTGAAGGTGCAGGGAAGGACAGTGACTGTTCCATGGCCACACACAGAGAAGCGTGGCCCAGAAGTGTTTGCTCAATACTTACAATTTCAACACTTTCATTTCCCTATACTTTCATGTGTTATAGGGAAAAAGAGTCTCTCTACAGTTTTACAAGAGGATTTCTGTTTTAAGATTAAGGAATCTCTTCACCTTTCTTATCTGGGACTTGATTTTTTTCTTTACTGATCTTGATGTGTTTAGGTTGTTTTTTTATATGCAGAGCAAAGCAGAAAGCTCAAGGGGACTTCACACCATGGGGCTGTCCCAAGGGCAGCAGGTTGCTTCCAGTGAGGAAAGGGCAAAAGAGGAGGTTCCTCCTGCCTCACCTGGCCCTGGGCACACAGATCTGCCCACCTTAGTCCCCGTCCTGACATGTCCTTGGAGCAAAGCCTTGAATTTCAGGAATTTCCAGAGCAGACTTGCTTCCCCCAGCCTGCCCAGCCCCACACTCTGAATCTCCTTTCAGCAGAGCCAGCAAAGGTTTTGCAGGCAGCTTCTGATCCCAGAAGTGATTCCTTCCAGCCCCATGACAGCTCTAAGTGCTTCAAACTGAGCAATTGCTGTTATTCACAAGAGGATCTGGAAATCACAGTGATTGTGCAGGATGTGAGAGGGACCTGCCAGCTGCAGGTCACGGTCCTTTCCTGCCAAAACCACTTGAACTCCAGCCCTTGTCACCAGACACGTGCTCCTGGGACAGGGCACTCTTTTCACTGCATTTGCTGCTCTCTTATGGCTTAAGATGGGAGGCTTGAAAGAAACAGCTCTTTTTCAGGCTCAAACCTCCTCCTGGAATACTTGACTCCAACACTAAATAGACAGAAAAGCCACTCAACAGAAAAGAACTTTGTGTTGTCCCTGTAAATCTTTCATCCAATGCCCTCCCCATGCACCAGGAGAGATCTCAGGGTGTGATCTTTTGTGTGAGTGCTGCAGAGTTTAGGAGATATAAATGTCAGTCCATCCACAATTCCCTGTCACTCAGCTGAGCTGCTGCTCCAGCAGGCAAGGAGAAATGGGAATTTTTCTTTTCAGTCCTCCACAAGGACCTGTTCCTATGAAAACCAGCAGTTCCTTGTGGATGGGGTGGGATCAGCCCCCAAAACTGGCTGGTTTGCTGTGTCCAAATCATGCCTGGGGATCCTCCAGTGCAAGGGAGACCAGCTCACAATTTAGACTTGGCCACAGGGAGATAAAATGAAAGAATCCAGTCTGACCTTGGCAAAAGGTGTGGGGTAAGTCCTCGTGTGTGTGTGTTCTGCCAGCCTGCCCTGAGCTGCTCCTGCAGGATGCTGTGGTTTCACTGTGGCTGGAGGTTTTGAAGGGAAGACTGGACGTGCCATGGTCTGGTTGACAAGGCAGTGTTGGATCACTCAATGATCTCAAAGGTCTTTTCCAGCTTCACTGACCCTGTGACTCGGGAGTCCTTGCCTTGCACTCTGGGCTGTGCCCAAGGACCACAGCACAGCATGGAAGGTGCTGCCTGTGCTCCCTGCTGAGCCTGCACAGGGCAGGACCTTCCCAGGGACACGCTCTGGAGCAAAGCACACACCAGCCCCAGGTCAGAACAGCTTCAGGAGCCTGGAGAGCAGCTTCTAATAGCAGAACTCCTCTCCCTGGAACATCCTGCTTTTGGCAAGCCTGTCCATGCCATCCACACTGAAGCAGAGGCTGAACCTTGCTCGGAGCAATCCCGGGTTGTGGTTAGCTCTTGGTGGTGAGCAGAGAGGGAGCTCACATCTCATGGCTGCGTGCTCTGAGCTTTGTGAGCACCTGCACCCACAAGAAACAGGATCCTGGAGAATATCTTGGTTAGCTCTTGGTGGTGAGCAGAGAGGGAGCTCACATCTCATGGCTGCGTGCTCTGACCTTTGTGAGCACCTGCAAGAAACAGGATCCTGGAGAATATCCCCTAATTTTCACTTTTTGATGTAGATTAAACAGTGGCTCAGGAGGTCATGTTTTGATCTCAGCATTAAAGCACTTCAGGAGAGACAGTTCCTGTTCAGGAAGAGTGAATTATTCGAGGACTATCACTGCCCAGCACATTTTTCTTCACTAATGCCACTTCATGGCTAGAAAGTCTCAATTGCAAGTCACATGTGTAAACATTGGAGCAGTCATTTATCCAGTGCACAATTTGTAGGGATGACAAGTCATTTAAATAGTGTGTGTAACGCAAAAAACCCCGCTACTGATTTAGTGGCTTTATTATTACACTGTCAGGAAAATTAATGTTCTATTTGCACAAAGCATCCATTCAGGCTCCCTATCTGCAGCAGCACAGAGGTTGGGATGAGGGCTGAGTGTCCCGAGGATGGAGAGCTGTGTGGTGTCCCAGCTCCCAGAGGAACTGGCCTTTCCCAGGATTGCCTGGCACTGGGAACAGCACATCCCAATTACCGACTGAGAAGGCCAACAGCAGAGTGACAGACAGCCCTAAGTGTGAACCCACAGGAATGACTCACCCAGCAGCTGGCTCCTTTCCAATCAAATGGTGGGAATTCTTTCTTTTGGTGGGCAGAGGTGCCTAAGGGAAAAGCACAGGAAGGAAAATATCAGCAACAAGCTCTGCAGACGCAGAAACAACTCAGCTGTGTTTTATAACAAGAGGAAGGAAGATGCTCTCCCACGTCTCCCTGCCTTGCTGCACTGTGTTTTCCAACAAGTTCAGTCGGATATAAATTGGCAGGAGAAGCAGGGGGCTGTTCCAAGGGGCACACGAGGCAGGAGTGGGAGCAGTGAGGCAGGAGTGATGTCCTGCTGCACCCGCAGGGCCCGCTGAGAGCAGAGGGTCCAGCAGCCACGCTGGGCTCAGCCAGTCTTGGGCTCATGGTGACAGATCCTGGATCCAGCTGGGAAGCCAGGATGGGATCAGCAAGGCCAAGCCCAGGCTTAGCTGTGGTCAGGCCAGGCTGGGAGCACAGCAGGTAGCTCCAGCAAGGGCCCTCCCAGCTCTTTCCCAACAGCCCAAAAGCAGGATACAGCTGCACCAGAGCTGGCTCAAAATCCCAGAATCCCAGAATCATTCTGGAAAAGAACTCCCAGACCACTGAGTCCACCCTGTGCCTGACCCCCACCTTGTTTCCAGTTCAGAGCTCTTGTCCAGTCATTCCTAGTAAAGAACTGTTATTCCTGTTCCTATATGTTTGCCTGAGATGCCCTTAATTTCAAAATTATAATTCAGATGAAGGTGTTGTTTGCATTTTCCATTTCAGGGGAGGCTCCTGCCTTCCTTAGCAGACACCTCTCTTTTCAAACCAAGACAGCAGCAGAGATTCCCAGCAGATCCCTTTGGGCAGGAGCCTCTGCAGAGTCCCTGTGGTGGAGGCTGGGCAGGCAGGGACCTCTCAGAGCAAAGCTGGGCCCTCATTGTATTCCCTGTGCTTCTTGCAAAGTGAGAAAGCACTTGAGGGATTCCAGAAGGCTCTCATGGAGATGTGTCCATTTAAACCAGCTGTGGTTGGGATGGGCTGAGAAGAAAATGAAACACCGAAGGAGAACCAACTGTCAAAGCACTTTAACTGGTGAGGCAACCAGATATTTATCCCTTTGGAGTTCTTCCTGACAGACCACAAGCAGAGGGAGGCAGACCAGCCTGACCTGGTTTGCCACGTCTCTTTTCATCTGCATTCTCATGAAGGCTCCCTTAATCATACGGGTTGTGTAAAGCAATTTATTCTGCCATTTTCGTTTAGTTCCCTGCAGGTTCTGAACCTTTTATAGAGCCTTGGGTGAAGCTGTTGAGCTCCTGGAGTTGTGAGGCACCAGAACAGGTTGTCCATGAATATGAGGGATGAACATTCCAGGAGGGTTTCAGAACACAGACGGACAAGGCTCTCGGTGACCTGATCCAACCTTGAAGTTGCCTGCTTTGAATTTGTCTATGATTTCAAATTCTCTGTGCTACCATAAGACTAGAAAAGGGATGTTTTATTAAAAGCCAAAATGTTTATTCAGTCTCTTAAATCTGCACATTCAATAAAGGAGAAATGATTTCTTTTTATTTATAATAAAATTCTGAGGTTTCAGGACTCATCTGATGGAAACTTTGATGCTTTCTCCGCCTTTTTTTTTTTTTTTTTATTTGAGGGGCCATGCACTTTCTCATAAAGCATTGCTACAGCAATTTTCACTTAGAACAACATTGTTTCTTTTTTCCCCTTTTTTTTTTTTTTTTTAGTGGTAAGGCCTTGGCTTTGAAAACTAAAAAAACAAGCAATTATTAGTTAAAAAAGCGAGGGAAGTCCACTCCTGGTGACTTTTCCTTCTGGTTCTCTGAGGGATGTGTTGAAATTCCAAGCTGCTCTGGAAGCTGCAAGGAGACACCACAGGAGCTCAGTTCTCCTGGAAATGCTCTCTGTGTGGGAGAGGAGAGAGGGAGGCATTTAAGGACAAGAAGAGTGAGGCAGGGGGAGCAGAGCTGCTCAGCAGTCAGATGGAGTTACTTTCTGCCAGCCCTGGATGCCCCACTGGGCTTTACCTGCTCCAGCATCAGCAGAGCTGCCTGTGCTGGATCAGCTGCCCTGCCCAGGGGAGGTGGGATGTGGGCCAAAAAGTGCTTTTAGGCGAGGCTGTGACCTACTGAAGGGATGGAGTGGTGTCACTGAGCTGTCCCTGCCCTGCTGTGTCCCCTCCTGGGGAGGGAGTGGGGTCCCTGCCTCCAGAGCAGAGGGGGTGAATCCCTGCTGGAGGCTGGGCAGGGCACTTGCAGTGGGAATGCTGCAAACACCAGGTCTGAGGGCTCAGGAAGGGGCAATTTTCCAGTGAAGATGGGCCAGGACAGATCTGGGTGTGGAATTTTGGGATGACACCATAGTGAGTGATGGTGATCTGATTAACTGCACAAGCAGCCCATGAAATGAGTGGGGTTTCCTCTTCTGCATAGCATGGAAATGGAATAATTTCCATGGAATAAAAAAATTAACCAAGGAAAGTGTGATAACCAATTAAAGAAAATTGGGATGTGTGAAAGGAAAAACCTCCAAACCAATAAAATGGAGAGTCCATAGCTTAACACAACAGGGATATGGAAATACTGCAGAAGGAAAGGTGGGAATGCAATTTCCAGACCCTTTGTTTTCACCTCTCTCCATGAGCAGTTCCTTGCAGCTGTGCTTGTTCCTGTCCCTGAAGGAAGGAACCTGAGGGATGAAACCCCAGCTTGTATCAGGGAGTGAGGAGAGCTGGCAGCTGGAAGGGAGCACACTGGGACACGCTGTTAATTGTGGTGAATGACCCAAAGCAGAGCATGGAAAATCTGAAATGAACAATAGCCTTGACTGTGAGCCCAGTGACAATGGAAGGAACACAGGGAAAAGTTGTAGGAATAGCCTGGATGATCTTTTACAGCAATGGGGAGGGGACAAGAAGGCTTGAGAGAGGATTCACAATGAAATCTGTCACCTGGAACTGGCTGGAAAGATCAGCTTTACATGTCTTTTTCTGAAAATGCAGTGCTTTAGCAGAGGCTTTCATTTTTATTTTCTTTATTTTGTGTTAATTTCCTTTGTTTTAAAGTACCCGTGGCTTTAGGCTTGTGCTGCTGTTCTTTGATTCAGCCTCAATCTGAGTGAAACCCAATGTCCTGTGGATGCTCCCCTTCATGCCAGTGGATCCACAGCAGCTCAGGTTCCTGCCAGGAGAACCTTTCTACCAATCTTTTGGGCAGTATCTGCACCTATGGAAGAAAATTCACTGCAATGAACCAAAAAGGGACCCAAAAAGGCATTGTGTGTCCCTGAAGGACAGGGTCATGGTTCTGGGTTATCCTTGGCAACTACTGCAGGGATAAATGGGCAGGAATTCTCTAACTCCACGTGAGACATTTTGGCTGGCTGGACACTGAGCTCTCTGTGTTGTTTGGTGACTCCTGAAATACATTCAGCACAGAGCAGGGTGGTTTTAAACTCACCCTGCGCAGCACTTCTGTCCATCCACTTAAACCAGCAGTGCCACTAACTGTAGTAAATGTATTTATTTTCCTGCTCTATCTTGTTAAACCCCTGCTCTTCTCTGCTGCTGCACATCAGAGATGTTAACTCAGAGCTAACCTGGTAAAGCTGGAGAGCTGGGCCCAGGGGAGAGCGAGGGAGAGGCTGCTGGGGAGGCATCCAGCAGCTGAAGCAGAAAAAATGTGACTTTATAAATCCTTCATCCCCTCCATCTTTCCAGAAACATTTCTCAGCAGCTTCCTTATGGAAAATTAAACTCTACTCTGGCTGTGCTTCACTCTAACTTCTGTGCTTCAAAACAGCCTCGCTCTGTCATTTCTTTGGAGCAGCAGGGCTCGCCTTGGCTTCTCCGTTTGCCAGGTCTCAGAGCAAAATTAAAGTAAGGAAAGCATCTCAGAGGATGTGGCCTGAAGGGCATGAGGGTGGGGAAACATCAGAAAATGAGTCAGGAGCTTCTGGGACATCACATGTCATCAGGAGGAGCAGAGCACTGCTGGGAGCCCCTCTCCCTGTGAGGCTGCCTGGGAACCACACAGGGGCTGGGCTGGGCTTGTGCAGAGCCCTGCAGCCCCTGTCCCTGTGTGCTGGGGGAGCTGCCCATCCCCGTGGCTGGAACACTCTCAGGAGGCTGGAGATGGCTTCTCCTGGTGTTCCCCCTGCTGGAGCTGCTCTGGGACCATCTCTGTGTGTTTGTGCTGCCCCTGACCCTCTGCTACCCTGGCTGTGCCCATCTGGCATCAGGAATGGAAGGCCAGAGCTGGCACAAGGATTTATAACCCTGTACCAAAAGCTTCTGTGGGGTTTCCCAGAAATCCCAAATCCCCTGGGCAGGGACCCTCAGCTGGGAGTTATGATCAGGGGGCACTGGTATAAAATGTGGGGTTCAGAGGACACCAAAGTTGCAATTAAAGAGTCAGTGGTTCTGGAGAGGCACTTTGAGACCACACAGGTATGAGCTTTGTCCTAGAGAATTATCCAAGAGCATAGAATCAGGGAATCAGGGAATCCAGAATGGTTTGAGCTAGAAGGGCCCTTCCAAATCCTGAGGTTCCAGCCCCTTGCCATGCTGTCTTGGTTTGAAAAGCCAGGTGTCTGATAAGGGAGGCAGGAGCCTCCCCTGAAATGGAAAATGCAAACCCCCTCCCTCTGAATTATTGTAATTTTGAAATTAAGGGGCTCTCGGGCAAACATAGAAGAACAGGAATAACAGTTCTTTACTAGGAAAACTAAAAATACAAACACAATAGTACAAAACAAACCAGAGTCTCTGCCAGAGTCAGCAGAGGCGCTGTCCCCCTGTGGGTCAGGGTGGTGGCACAGCCCAGCCACATCTTCCAACCTCAGACATGGGCAGCACTCCTTAAAGCATCCACCATCCCAGAGCAGGAGCATCCTGCACATGAAATGGGGCAGAAAGAGAAATGAACTGAGCTTGCCTTGTTCAGGGCATTTCCAGGAGAACGTCAGGGAACAGGCCCCTCTCAGCTCCCAATAAAGCCCTGCCAGGCCCCAGAGAGTCACAAAAAGATCCTAAGAGGATAAGACACAAAGAGAACACAAATGCAAGGTGTGGGCAGGCTTGGCCTTTGACAGAGCCTGAGGACAGGCAGAGCTGTGCATGGGTGGAGGAAAGCATCCATGGGGAAAATCACAGCCCCAGCAGAGCTGTGGCAATCCCTGTGAGCCTCCTGCTTGGCTTTAGTCACCAGGGAAAGGAACAGTCAGCCATGGCACCTTTCAGGATCACTTCCTAGCCCACACTGGGGGTACCAAAGGAATCCTTGCTGAGTGATTTCATGTCTAACAGAAGCTGCAGACCCTGATCTCTCCCCAGGCTGGAGATGAGCAGTGATGAGCTCCTTGTTGAGGAGCTGGAGTGTGACACTGGGGACACCAGGATGGCTTTGCATCCCCCCTCACCCTCGATGGGCTGCTCCTCCTGATTTGCTGTGACTTCTCATGTATTTTCTATCTGAAGTGAATGACAGACTATGAGAGACCATCATTTCCCTCCCTGCTTTACAGAGCTCAGTTTATCCTCCCAGTCAGCTTTATTTAAGGAGCCCAAGGTGCGGGGAAAGCTGTTCCCAAAGGGTTGGGATGCTCTGCATTTGATTTTCAAATTTTGTTCTTGTCGTTGGCCAACAGCTATAAATAGGTGGCACTGCCAAGGCTGGCATCAAATCCAACACATTTGAGGGAACCAGAATAAAAGCAGTTTTACCTGCAGACTTTGATGTCCTTTGTTCCCAGGTGACAGCCCCCTCTCCTGCCATTGCTGGTGCAGAGCATTTCAGAAGTTACCTGCTCTTACCCCACCTCTGGGAGCTTTGCTCATGCACCTCATCACAGGGACAGTGTTCAGAGTGAAATTCCCTCTGGTCCTTTCCAGATCTCAGGGGAAAGGAATTTCAGATTTTTTACTTGCTCTCACCAAGAGCTGAACATGGGAGGGCAGGTCTGTGAGTGCTGTAGTCTCCTATTTCCCTTGGCTTCAATGAAGCCCTGATGATTTATGGATTCATGGTTCCCCCCCAGCATTCTGAGAGTCCAGGAGGAAGATCCAGGGCCCTTCTGCCTTCAGATTCTTGAAAACTGTTTAGGTTGGACAGGACCTTCAAGACCACAGAGTCCAAACCATTCCCCCAGCCCTGCAAACCCACTAAATCATGTCCCCAAGTGCCATATCCACAGGGCTTTTAAACTCCTCCAGGGTATAGTTGCTTCAAAGCTTGAATTAGAAATTTTCTCCCATGATGGACACTTCATTAAATCAAAAACATTTTGTAAAACAGAGCAGTGTTCTCTGAAATGCTCCTCCTGGAGCAGGTTTCTTGTCTTCATCGTGTGGATGAAGTGACAGTGTCACAATATTTACCTGTTTCTCAGCTTGTTTTGCTGGTGACATTGCTGCTGAAGAGTGCTCTTGTCACTCCTGAGAAATTCTCAGTGTGTCTGCAGTGACTACAGGAGGAAACTCCCATGGATCCCCACAGGAACTGACTGGAGGATCGCTGAGCTGATCAA